CGGAGTACATGATATGACAGTACAGAGTACATGATATGTCTGTACAGAGTTCATGGTATGTCGGTACGGATTACATGATATGTTAGTATGGAGTTCATAATATGTCGGTACGGAGTACATGGTATGTCAGTTCAGAGTACATGATATCTCAGTACGCAGTACATGATATGTTGGTACGAAGTACATGATATTTCTTTACAGAGTACATGATATGTCAGTATGGAGTACATGGTATGTCGGTACGAAGTAAATGATATGTCCATACAGAGTACATGATATGTCAGTACGGAATACATGATATTGGTACGGAGTACATGATATGTTGGTACGGAGTACATGTTATGTCGGTACAGAGTACATGGTATGTCAGTACGGAGTACATGATATGTCCGTACAGAGTACATGGTATGTTTGTACATGCATGGTATGTTGGTACGGAGTACATGATATTTCTTTACAGAGTACATGATATGTCAGTATGGAGTACATGGTATGTCGGTAAGGAGAACATGGTATGTCGGTACGGATTACATGATATGTTAGTATGGAGGTCATGATATGTCGGTACGGAGTAAATGGTATGTCAGTTCAGAGTACATGATATCTCAGTACGCAGTACATGATATGTCTGTACAGATTTCATGGTATGTCGAAACAGAGTATGTGATATGCTGGTACGGAGTACATGATATGAAGGTACGGAGTACATGATATGTTGGTACGGACTACATGATATGAAGGTACGGAGTACATGATATGTTAGTATGGAGGTCATGATATGTCGGTACGGAGTAAATGGTATGTCAGTTCAGAGTACATGATATCTCAGTACGCAGTACATGATATGTCTGTACAGAGTTCATGGTATGTCGGTACGGAGTACATGATATGTCGGTACAGAGTACATGGTATGTCTGTTTGGAGTACATGATATGTTGGTACGGAGTACATGATATGAAGGTACGGAGTACATGATATGTCGGTACAGAGTACATGGTATGTCTGTTTGGAGTACATGATATGTCCTTACAGAGTTCATGGTATGTCAGTACAGAGTACATGATATATCAGTATGGAGTACATGATATGTCGGTACAGAGTACATGCATGGTATGTTGGTACAGAGTACATGATATGTCGGTACAGAGTTCATGGTTATGTCGGTACAGAGTACCTGGTATGGTGGTACGGAGTACATGATATGTCCGTACAGAGTTCATGGTATGTTGGTACGGAGTACATGGTATGTTGGTACGGAGTACATGGTATGTTGGTACGGTCCAGTTGATGATATGTCGGTACGGAGTAAATGATATCTCAGTACGCAGTACATGATATGTCTGTACAGAGTTCATGGTATGTCGGTACAGAGTACATGATATGTCAGTACGGAGTTAATGATATCTCAGTACGCAGTACATAATATGTTGGTACCGAGTACATGATATGTCAGTATGGAGTAGATGATATGTCGGTACAGAGTACATGGTATGTTGGTACGGAGTACATGATATGTCAGTACGGAGTACATGGTATGTTGATTGGTTTCGAGTACATGGTATGTCGGTACTGAGTACATGGTATGTTGGTTCGGATGTCATTTTAAGTTCGCAGTATTAGACAATAAATGAGCATTATAGTTTCCATTGACAATATTACAATAGCACAGGAAGTTACGATTTTTTGTTATCCCTGTTTTCCCACAAGATATGTATTACAAAAATACTGAAGCAGTGATAATATAATGCATTTTTAGCTCACCTGGTCCGAAGGACCATGGTGAGCTTATGCCATACCGCAGTGTCCGTCCGTCTGTTAACTTTTCCTTTAACAGATTTTTACTTAATTTGGTCTGGAACATTCTTAGGTCAAGGGGACTCAGTTTTGTATAAACGATGGCTGTGGCACCCCTGAGGGTAGAGGGGCGGGGCCAATAGGGGAAATAGAGGTAAAACCTTTAAAATACTTCTTCTACCTAGGAATAAAAAGGATTTTGTCCTAATTTAGTCTAAGAGCATCCTTGGGCCAAGGGGACTCAATTTTGTATAAACGGTGGGTGTGGCCCCCCTGGGCAAAGAGAGGCGGGGCCCAATAGGGGAAGTAGAGGTAAATCTTTAAAATCCTTCTTCTACCATGGGATTAAGGGATTTCATCTGAATTTGGTCTGGAGCATCCTTTAAGTCAAAAGGGACTCAATTTTATATAAATAGTGAGTGTGGCCCTCCTGGGGGGCAGAGGGACGGGGCCCAATAGAGGAAACAATATAGCAAATTCTTCTAAATCCTTTGTCTTCTGTAGGAATGACTGAGGTATGCAACGCAAACCATATGTGCATCTTTAGTGGAAAACGTACAAATGTATGATATGCTTTCTGCCTGCACAGTTTTTCAAAAACACTTTTCTCAAGGGACGACTCAGTCTCGTGTGGCTTTATTTCAGATATTTTGTTTTTAAGTATCGGGTAAAAATTGTACAATCCATCAGAAAATGAAAGTAGATGGTGGTAATTATTTAGGAAAAGATAAGCTTGATATTCTATCCCAGAGAAAGCGTTACGACCATTTAAAGTTCAAGAGAGACAATTTATGATAGTATTTTTTACTATTTTGACGTGGAAGTATTAGCTGCTTTCTTCATTTTGTCAATTGATGTTTGTAATTTACCGGACCACAACATAACACCGGAAAAAATGGATTGGAAGTAATAGACAAACATGATTCCGGAAAGGATGTTATAGTATTATACGTATTTAGTAAATGATTAAATACAAATAATATTATTATCTTGATTACATGATGTCATCTTTTGTTATTGTTAAATTGTCATTGTTAGACATTTGGTATACACAGATTTTTCATGTGTAAGCCCAGACTTTATTTTTCTATGGATGCTACGCCCTTGGACGCTCTACCAATTGAGCTACCTGGTCGGCGTCGACGATCACCCAGGTCCAGTTCTACTACACATGCTTTTAACCCATCTTCAGTCAGCCTTGTTGACTTTGTGCTAAGTTGTGGTAAATTCAATGGAAATACGTGCATGTTATCTATTCTTTCTGGATATTTGATGCATTTTCTTACTTTTTTCTAGATAATTTGACTACATCGCTGCACATGGATACTTCACGTGTATATATGTGTGGCAAGTTTTAATTGTACACATAAGGATTAAGGTCGCCTTCTAGCTTCGAGCTAGAGAGAATTTCCCTTTAGTTCAGTGGTAGAGCGTCCGACTAGGAACCTGGAGATCGAGGGTTTGATCCCCAGTGGAAGCACACTATTCTCTTTCCTGTTACAAATGGTGTTTGTGGCCCTCCCTGTGATGACAGGGAGTTAGAACCTGGGTTGTGGTGTTTGAGGGCGAACACATTTAAAAAGGGGGGAGTAGTGTGGCAGGTTTTAATTGTATATATAGGATTAAGGTCGCCTTCTAGCTTCGAGCAAGAGGGAATTTCCCTTTAACTCAGTGGTAGAGCGTCCGACTAGGAACCTAGAGATCGAGGATTTGATCCCCGGTGGAAGCACACTATTCTCTTTCCTGTTACAAATGGTGTTTGTGGCCCTCCCTGTGATGACAGGGAGTTAGAACCTGGGTTGTGGTGTTTGAGGGCGAACACATTTAAAAAGGCGGGAGTAGTGTGGCAGGTTTTAATTGTATATATAGGATTAAGGTCGCCGTCTAGCTTCGAGCAAGAGGGAATTTCCCTTTAGCTCAGTTGTAGAGCGTCTGACTAGGAACCTGGAGATCGAGGATTCGAACCCCGGTGGAAGCACACTATTCTCTTTCCTGTTACAAATGGTGTTCGTGGCCCTCCCTGTGATGACAGGGAGTTAGAACCTGGGTTGTGGGGTTTGAGGGGGAACACATTTAAAAAGGGGGGAGTAGTGTGGCAGGGTTTAATTGTATATATAGGATTAAGGTCGCCTTCTAGCTTCTAGCAAGAGGGAATTTCCCTTTAACTCAGTGGTAGAGCGTCTGACTAGGAACCTGGAGATCGAGGATTCGATCCCCGGTGGAAGCACACTATTCTCTCTCCTGTTACAAATGGTGTTCGTGGCCCTCCCTGTGGTGACAGGGAGTTAGAACCTGGGTTGTGGTGTTTGAGGGCGAACACATTTAAAAAGGGGGGAGTAGTGTGGCAGGTTTTAATTGTATATATAGGATTAAGGTCGCCTTTTAGCTTCGAGCATGAGGGAATATCCCTTTAACTCAGTGGTAGAGCGTCCGACTAGGAACCTGGAGATCGAGGATTCGATCCCCGGTGGAAGCACACTATTCTCTTTCCTGTTACAAATGGTGTCCGTGGCCCTCCCTGTGGTGACAGGGAGTTAGAACCTGGGTTGTGGTGTTTGAGGGCGAACACATTTAAAAAGGGGGGAGTAGTGTGGCAGGTTTTAATTGTATATATAGGATTAAGGTCGCCTTCTAGCTTCGAGCAAGAGGGAATTTCCCTTTAACTCAGTGGTAGAGCGTCCGACTAGGAACCTGGAGATCGAGGATTCGATCCCCGGTGGAAGCACACTATTCTCTTTCCTGTTATACATGCATGTATATATACAGTTTACTTTTCATTATATGCAATATTCAAAGCTATGCGTGTACAAAAAATATATTCTGTGTTCAAATGCCTCTTTATAGCCAAAATCAACAATATCTTCAACAAAATGTTTAAAAAAATGTCATAGTTTACATTATTCTAAATACTCGATAACCAAATCACTTCCACAGGTCTATATTTTGGGGAAACAATGATAATCAAATAACAAACTTTCTACATTTATATGCACACAGCAAGAATGTCTTAAAAAACATGTTTGTATAATGTAAACACATGACATGTATCCAAACTTGTGGATGTTAGCTAGATGTATGTGTTACTTTCTGTGTTCTGTATGCTTGTCATGAGAGATCACTCTCCAAATTAATATGTAGGTAATATTATGTATTATATTTATGTATACCCCCGAAATAAAAACTGTAATTGAACTTGAATAGCTTACCTGCGTTTCTGTTGCCTAGGTCAATATGACGTAGAACGAAAATCAAACTAAAGCCAACAAATACTGTTTGGGCTATACTCCTAACGCTGGTACGGCGGCCACAGATTCTAACTAAGTGTCGCTTCGCCATTTCACGGGGGAAAATCAACTAACAATGTACAAGGTTCACTCTATTGGAATAGTCCAACCACAATATCCTGTCGTGTAACCTCGATTAGGATTTCATGACAGGCGAGTCGATTTTCAGATAGGGGGAAAAGGTAGGTCTATGTTACAAGGGAAACAAGATACAAGAAACTTTATTTAACGTCGCATATATCAAACAGAGAAACATTAGCGATGTAGCTATTTTTGCGGCAGACATTTGGGCTTCAGGAAAAACCCCCAGCCTGAGAAGTTTCTTTGAAAATCATGTATTTTCAACATTTTCCTCAATTTTGCCCCACCTGGAAACCCCCCCAGGAAATTTGGAACCCCCCCCCCAGACAGGTCTCTGGATCCGCCACTGGACATATGATAAAAAGCAAACAGAAAACAACAAACAAGCTACATGTATAGCTATAGCGGAGCCCGCGAAGGAACATGGTAACTATATATATATATATTGGTTATATCATAGGAACCGAGCAATATGTCAGTTATTGTACGAGAGGGGCAGAGCTACTTCTCGAGCGCGTAGCGCGAGGGATGTAAGCTCCACCCCTCGAGTACGATAACTGACATATTGCGAGGCCTATGATGTAACCGACTTGTCGCATAAAGTGTCACGTAACAATCTAAGAGAACATTTGGTCATTAGAAAAAAAATTGCATCATGTCGGACTTAATCTCAAACTCGAGGCCAAGTTTGGCACACATTGACTTTGACGACCTGGACGCAATTCATTTGTCTCAGTCGATGACTCTCATTGAAAGTGGTCCAGAAAATGGTAAAAATTGAGGGCGCTACATGTCAAAATGGTAACTCAGATATTAAGCCTACTAATGTGAATATTAACATGCCTACAGAAAAGGACCATGTTCCATTTGCTGATATTTCTAATATGTCCAGAAATGTGTTTCACAATTGCCAAGTGTCTTTTAATTAAAAGACCGACTAGTACCAGTTTATGCTAAGACTTTAACTTACAAAACGGAAAAAAGATTGACCGTGGAACCTGTCTGTAAAGGCGCAATTTGTTGAATTGTTTGCAACAATGTTGCTTAATACAATGTATTTGAACTCCCTGTATTTGTACAGGGACGTATACTGTCCCTGATTTGTATATTTAGCTATTTCCCACGGTGTCGATATCCTATTAACATTCACTAAAAGGCCACTGTACACTTTCATAGGCTGACCAATGAGAATGGATAATTCTATTGTATTCAGTATAGGGGAGGAGCCTCACTAATACCATATGGTATTAGTAAAACTGTGTAAAATAAGTTGGTTATACCATAGCTAGATCAAAGGGAAAGTGACACGTCTATGCGACAAGTATAGCAGATAGCAGACATACGTTGGCCTAACGTTGGCCCAATGCATCAGGGTTGGTTGGGCCATCTTTTGAAAATGACGTTGGGCCAACATGTTGGACCACCGTTGGCCCAACAACTTAACTATAAAACTATGTTGGGCTAATGCTTAATTGTGGTGCATATTTGACATCGGGCCAACGTTACACCAACGAACAAAGTTTGCTGTGCCAACGTTGGTACAATGCTGTATTTTGTTGTTTTGTTTGTAGTGGCTTTCCGTCCTATTAACAGCTAATGTTTTTAAGGACGATGTCAAGATAGACACAAGAAAAGACAGAAAGAAAGAATATGGAAAAAGAGAAATGAATAAAATGATGGTGTCTGATAATAAGAAAACAAACAGTGATTTATATTATGTCATATCCACCCATTTTATTTTCTACTCTGGCTGATTGGTAGCCGATGCCACCAGTGCAGCTTGTGGCCGCCTCTTTCTGCCTTTTGATTTCCTCCCTTTTTGTCTCGGCCCTTCTCGGTCCCCTGTATATCTCAGCCAGTCTTTTGCAATGTTATTGACCTCGTTGTACAATGTAGGTGGCCTTTAATTTGCCGGGAGGTAGTTTTTCCGTACAGCCCCTTAAAAATATGGTAACAAATATTTATCTGGGAATTTCAACTTCATGCTTTCTCAACTGTCACTAAATATGGTGATGTACATGTACCAGAAGAGAAATTCACAGTGACCTAAAATATATTGCAATGCACTCAAAATATATGGTATAAAATGTACAGCCCAGGCAAAATTTAGTAAACGTTTTGCAATGTATTGACCTTTTGTACAGAGTGAAGGTCATCGTGAACTAAACATATTATTGTACCTCATCTTTATAACAACGTGTCTGATTAGATGATACTGGTTACATGTTACATGACGGGCAACAAAATAGCATGTCGCCCTCGCGCTCTCAAGTTTCCCTGTCCATATTTCCCTTATTCGGAGCCTCTCTAAAGTCAAGATCATCCACAAACCAGTTCCGAGTGACGAAGGCAGACGACAACAATGGCGCGTCAACCTGATTATTCCTACAATTGTGTTACAGTTCTTATTCACTTATTTATATTTTGACATCATTAATTATGTGTCCTTACTGTAGGGAAATACGATTATTTGTTTATCCTCGATTTATCATGTTTCACGAGGGCGTTTCCCTACAAAGGTCAATGAATATTTAATGGTCTGCGACTTTCTGAGCTGGTGGAGATTTCCTCAAAAGTAATTGGCCTAACACGTTATATAAATGTAATACCATTTGAATAAAACATTCATAATAGATTGAAATTGCTTCTTTTCAACTTTTAAATTTTTTGATAAGTTTATACATGTAACGTCTTTAAGAAATTGGCAACCATGGTGCCATTTTGGACTTTGGACCGACCTTAAAACACTTGGGCAGCATTATCTTTGGCAAGTTTAAAACAATATACCTACCAGTAGAATGTCAGAGGAAGTTTGAATTGTATATGGTCTTGGGGAAACGAGAGAATGCACAATCATATGATCATTAGCATTGAGTAGTGATCCTGTCAGCCATTTGCAGCCATCTTCATTCTGAAATTCCCTAACTGCAAATACATGTACCCTTACTATTTTCATAAAATCATTTAACACATGTAGTGTCAAAATATATGTCAACTCTGCTTTTGCCATCTTAAATTTCTTTTCAATGTGTACGTTTCGCACGATCTCGATACAGGAGTAAACGCCTGGATCACTTGACGAATTAAGCAATGTAAACGTGTTTTTACTTTGAGTGCCAGATTCCAAAACGGTATGAAAACTTGCTCAACTCTTGAGCAAATCGAGTTGCTTCATACCCTCCTAGAACTAGTATTTGTATTTGGATTGAATGGATTTTTTTCATGTACATTGCGGCAATGAATAGCAGTAGCTGATCTACATATCATGTGGAGCGCGTTACTGCTGTATTGATGTTCTTTTTTTGCACAAACAATTAATTTGACATTTTTAATGAACACCTTGTATTTTTGTCGTATCTCCGGCACATTTTTATGTTCAGAAACAATTCTACATTTTTTTACAAGTCGATGTTACTGATGAAATCCTTCGATGTCCCACATACTATTTTGATATTTTCATTTTTCTCGAACTAAAACTTGTTTCCATATAGTACGTGCACTTGGTTATTTGTCTTAAGCTTCAAAATAGCATCAATTTATACTGATAAGTCCGTATATATATATATACCAGGCATTTTTTGACGTTCACAACATGTTGTGACGCGACTGTGACGTCACTTTTAACATGCGTCATCGTAGTGTTGACAATACGTTCTCTGAAACCAATTCGGATTTTCTGCAGCTACACCACCTATTTAGAATATTTTGATATTGTTTCTTCTTATTCCTACAGTTCTTTGCACATTTTTTTATTTGTAATTACATTGAAGGCATGGACACATAATATATATATTTGATGTAGTGTACGTATTTCATGCATTTATGTCACTTTTAAAACAAGTTCAAATACAAAGAAATTTCCTTTCCGAATTTTTCAGCAAACACAAAGAATAAAAAATTCTTCGAATTTTCATCTCGAAATATTGTCATAATTTTCCGTTACCTGATTTTTAAGAGCATGATTTAATTTTTAAAGGCGTATTATGCTGTGCCATCTCCGTCTTCACCTTACCAAATTGTTTTAGAGATAACTATGCAGTACATTCTCTCACAGTAATTGTGTGTATACATATTTTTTTGTAATATAATCCACTATTGGTTAAGAATGACTGAATGAAAAACAGTGGAAATGCGGCATGAAATAAACAGTAGAGTATAATTATGGATAGGAGGATATTTTGGCCTATAACTGACATTATTTCGTGCAAGTATAAATACATGTAGTTTCAAGAGGAACACCAGATTAAGGCCAAGGTCATTTTTTATTTTTAAATGTATTCATCATTGGATATCCATAAATTAAGGTTATCATTATCCTACATACAATATATCACTGTTAAAATTAGCATCAATTCTTGAGTAAGTCCTTTGATTCTTTTCAATGCATGTATTGACAAACACTAGGGTAAAAATTTGTGTAAATCAACTTTATTATTTTTCGACTGCCCAGCATGTAGCGTCATGATCACTTTTTAACAGAATGATTTACAAATAAGAATATTTCAATAAAGTAAATATATGTACCTTGAAAAATGGAATGGAGTAATAACAGATTCAAAAACTACACTATGAAATTTGTTTGTTTAGAGTTTTGCATCATTGCAACAGCTAAGAAAAGAAAGTCGAGAACAAAAAATAGATAGAAGTACAAAATCATCCCTCTGAATATCGCCAATTCTTGATTTGCAAGTATTTCTGAGGTGCTTTGAAAACAACGAACCAGGGCAGATCCATTGTGGTAGGGTTGAATATGGGGTTAGGGCAACTTAGGGCAGACCGGGACAAGTTCGGCCCTGGGGTAACTCCGGCCACTCCTGATATTTTTGGTCTTAAGCAAATATTTACAACTTTGAGGATCTAAGCAGTGCAGTTCACTAGGCAGGACGTTCATATGGAAAAAACGTGGGAAAATATAACTTTAGATTACTAAAACCAAGAAAATCATTTTTTGGATGGGTAAAACAAAAATCATGACCTCAGCTTTGCAAACTTTCTGTAAATCGAAATGCTACTTATTATTGATATGTCATACGTGTAACAGACCGACAGCTTCACATGATGGTATTTATGTAGAGTAGAGCATTGAGTTTTGTATTGCTATGAATATCAATTTAGGGCAGATTCGTCCAATGACACAGAGGCAGGTCGGCCCATGCCATACCAGGGAAGCTGTGAAATTGGAGGGAAAATATGACGTTGCATGCTTTATGACGTCACAATTTTGCTAATTTCAATGTGGGCCGAACTTACCCCAGATATGTGATGCCTCACGTGAGAAATCCTAAGCTAAACCCCCCCTCCTCCTCATGTTATAAGTATTATTTTTAACTTTAAATTAGAAAGAATAATAAAATGGTACAATGGTGCACCATTTATGATTTTCGCTGGTAGATTTAGATTTGGTCGCTGTACCAGCCATATTGAGGGGTTTCCACATGGATTTAAATAGTTTGTGTACTTTGATTGGCTCGCTAACATACTTTACACGCAGTGATTGGTTACCTGCTGTCTGTGATGTCCCTATTCATAGAGGTACAAGTGGGGAAATTAATTGCAAACAAAATGTGATAGATAAAGTCAGAGGGGTCCGAATATTCATACAGGATTGTTGGACATTGTTCCGCTTTTCCACGCACGGCGGCGTTGTTGTTTGGTTATGGGTGGAAATTTATTAAATCAGAGAACTCCGAATTGGCATATGGTGTGCCATTTCAGGGTGATACTAATACCGTGAGAACCAAGCGGAAAACCAGGATCATGTGCTTTAATGTGTTTCTTTAATGTTTTTAGTGCAACTACCTTAATGAATTGATATCACATGAATAAAAATGTATTTTAGCACAAGTTTATATCAAAATATACATTGCATAATACTAAAATAATTATCCTGTCCTGGGCCCGTATTCATGAAACCGTTCTCATGCTCAAGTATGGATTCTATGCTCAAGCCTATATTCTTGTTCTTGTTGTAACTTAATAAATATATCTTGTTTATCAATGATTTGGAAACATTTTGAAGAGACTTGAAGCTAAATACTGTTTCAATGTTTACATCTGACATTTTGATCGTTTGAAATGATTTAAGCGAGTTACAAGAAAGTCGGTTTGAGCACAGAATTCATGCTTGAGCATGAGAACGGTTTAATTAAAAAAAAATGTCCTGGCAGGATTTGGGTCACTAAATTATTATTTTTATTATTTCTTACAACCACGAAATCTCTGAGAAGGGGAGATAACTCTTATCAGAAACGGTACTATGCGTAGTAATCAGCTGACTGGTTGCACGAGAATCGTTTTATTCATAGTGTATTGGTATAATGACAGTTGTTTTCAGTTGGTAGATTCATGAACAGAACAAACATCAAGAATGTAAAAATATTTGTATATGGGGAGAGTGCATTGGACGCCATTAGTTTGGAGTCTTTTTCGAAATAACTTCCCGAGGACCTTTTTTGATCAATCTCTTCTTTTGTTTTTATATGAAGTTGAATTTATTGATGTTCTTATCAGGACTGGTAACACAAAGCCTAGCAAAGTCCTTCAATTTCACATTTAGATACTAGGCTGTACGATAAGCGGGAGGATTTCACTTTCCGATCGCGAACTTTACATTCTCGATAGCAACATCACTGCTCCCCATCTACGGTGTTTACAATTGTACATATCGCAAATGATTCGGTACTCAAGAGCTTGCTCCGAATATCACGACTTCCGTGATAGATATGACAACAGAGGGTTTCCAAGGATGCCAGTTGATGAAGACTATCGACAAGTGTTCGTCGACATCAGGATCTCACAGAGAAATAGGCTATTTCTGTGTGTGGTATGAAGGTCGATCTTTTTAATTATGCTCATTAGAGTGCCTTGTGGTTTGTTGTCACTAATCGGGTTCTCGTTGTGAGGACGTGACATTACTTCGTTTCGACTTAGATTTACATGGTGGGTTTCACCGATGAAGCAGAAGACGCTTACCCCTGGTTATATTCTCCTTGTACTGTTTCATTGGTTTACATGTAAATCATGTCTTTGATCATACTTGGCACAAACCCAACAATAGTCTGTATATATTCAGTATATGTCAGCAGTATCAACCACATTGTATAAAGATTCAATTTATTGTCAGTATATAATTTTGTTCTACTTTGCACTATCAATTTTGTGATTATTTAATATATTTAATATAACAATTACATTTTTTTCTGGAAAGTCCGCTGCATTGTACTACATATTATTGTAAGAAGCAACTATTCCAGCTTCCCCACAGAATCAGGGATTTTGTGTTTTCTGCTAGATGGACATTGAACATCCAACACTTGGGATCTATTTTTTTATCACTAGCCTCTTCCTCTTTTTGCTAATATCTCCCTAAGTGTCCGTCCTCATTTCACCCTACACTGTGTAGGTGATGCGGAGCGTAAACACACCATACAAAAACCAACATAAAATACAACCAGATTTGTACACGTTACCAGCCACATTCGTTAGTGTACGAAAATAATGGTTTGTTACACTAAGGGCCATAATGCAACACTTCGTTCGTTTGATTGTGGTTTAATGTCTTTACAACAATAGGATCATATGAAGATTTTATACAACTTTCAACATATTTTACCCATTATGCAATAGAACTTGGACTAGTTTAGACTATCATGAACAAAATCCTGTTAAATATCTTTCACGTAATTCTAGATTTTGGATCCTTGTTATTTAAAATAAGGATTTTGTTCATGTTAACAAAAGCATTCATTTCAGCTTCGATTTTTGCTATCATAGTGAATAACAATAACAACAGAACTAATGATAACAGTTGACAAAAATATTAAGCCGCTTTTGAAAAATATGAACTCTGCTCTATAAATTTTCTCATAATTTTCTCTAAATGTTGAAAATTGTTTAAATGAATACAGAATGTCTGTCTGTCTGGCTGGCTGGCTGGCTGGCTTAATAAAACCAGAGTACTAATTAACAGAAAGTAACTAATTTTGTAACAAAATTAAACAACAACTGTATAAAACCTATAATCAGGCATCACAATATACTAGCACAAATACATAGTTTCAAGTTTTATTCAAACTTTGGGCCATTGGCCCATCAGTATANACATAACTAGACCACAAAATTTTGGATCCATGACTATTAAATAGCACAGAGAAGTAAATATGGTGGGCTGACAAGGCCAAGGCCATTGAGTCAGTGACGTCACGAAAAGACGAACTTATCAACGTGTTATAACTCTTGTAACCTCTCATAAACCAATTAATGTCATGTTTTCATTCTATGTAACGTATTGAAATTAATTCTAGGGAATAATTCTAAATTAAAACTGTATTAACTTGATTTGCAGTTATAACGAACTGGAAAATATTAAACGTTTTCTGTGTTCATTTTGAATGATGGAAGAGGAGGAATTAAATGTTTCAAAATGCAATGCATCGTCGTGTGTCGGTTTTGCTGTTGGTATTTCTTCTTGTGCAAATTGATAATTACAGTATTTCAGCGTTTGTTCGATATGAACATCGTTGCATTTGTTGTGTGGGACAATCAGATAATGCGTAGAGAAAACGGATGGAAGTGAATAAACAATTTCTTAAATGAATGCATGCCACTCTCAGAAATTGGCAAATATATAACGTTATCGATTGACAGACATATACAGATAAAAAAGAACAATTTTTTTCTATCTTCCAAATTTTAATAGATTGAAATTATAAAGCATTAAATATAAATGTAGCAGGAAAATATAAACTTCCTCGATGTATAATTATTATCCAGATAATGTCATGTTTCGATATATGATATAACGACTCCTTCCTGGGGATAGCTTTATGCCAAAAGCATGCTTACAAGATCTGAAAAATAATATATATATATATATGTATTAAAACACAATCGTCGAGTGAAACAGGTTAAACGTATGGCTAAACGGGTCACGAATAGCTATCCTATTATACCACAACAAGTATAAATTAATATAGTCCAGGTCGTGGGTACTTCTATAAATTGAAATAAGTTGTAGACTAAAATTAGAAATTGCACGTTGATATCACGCGAGGCGCATTAACATCATCTTCGAAATAGATAACGGGATTATGATTCTGTTTCAAAACAATCACACGTCAGATACATATTTTTAAAACATAAATGAAATTCGTCATCACATACTTGTGCTTTTACAAAATGACACACAGAGTATATATCATCGTGAAGATTTTATTTTGATTTCACACCGTCTTAAAAAACGAAGGTCACTTTTGGACAAATCTTTATCAATATGGTCACAATTATTATAACATTTACTGCAGTATCTAAGGCGAAAACTTACGGGTTATTTCTATTTTGCCGTCTCTGTCCGAATCCCGTAGTTTGTCGATGACGTCATGTTTAATTCTAGAGTCGGCCTTGATAATGGTTTGTAGTTGATCAACAGTAACTGTTCCGTCACGGTCGTGATCGTACACTCGGAACGCCTCGCGTAACTTCTCCTCTTCCATTCGGACCTGAGGAAGACGATGGGTCAAGGTAGTTTTGTAGTCTGTCCATGCGACGTAGCCGCTTCCTGAAATATATCAGTTCAGTTACTGCACAACTGAATAACAAGTAAATAAGCTGTGCGCCGATGTTTCTTGTTAATGGGTCGCAAATGACATCAATGTATGGAAACATATGTCCACGTCATGTGACCCATAATTCGGAGCAGGCGCCTTCCGCAACAGGTTGCGATCATACAAGGCCATACAGTTTGTTTGTTTGTTTGATTTTGTTTAACGTCCTATTAACAGCTAAGGTCATTTAAGGACGGCCTCCCCTGTGTGCAAGATGCATGCGTGTAGTGTATGTGTGTGTATTTTGGGAGGCTGCGATATGTTCGTGTTTGTCTTCTTGTAATAGCGCGGAACTGATGCCGANTACAGACATAGTAATAATAATACTAATATTTTGTAAGTGTAACAAATTATATAAAGCAATTGTCATTAAATCAACATGGAAACCATGAAATCTTCTTCATCACTGCTATGTACATGTATGCGTAACAGGGGCGGTTGTTTTGTGCCGTTTCCGGTTTATGCTTCGACCAATTTCAGAGAAACAGAACACTTTGGTAAGGCAGATTTGGCTGTTTCCATACTTGTTCTTGTCATTTATGCTATGAAACATTGTGCACTGGCCTTTTCCTGTAATGTAAACACTATTTTGCAGTGTTAATGGTGGAGAACGTTATTATAAAGGCATTAATTGTTCCAACATTCAACGGTTGTCGAACTGTTCAGTCATCAAAACATTGGTAATTCAAAAGTCCCGCGGTATTTAGTCATTAAGGAGTTTTGTTTCCTCTCCCTATTGTTGTTTTGTTCATGAAATAGGCTGATAAAAGAGGAGTGAATGGTGACTTTTTGAACTTTTATCAAGGTGAACACAGTTGTTTATAGAAATGTTTGGCGCTGGATGGTCTGCACTGCAGGAAACAATAAATGACAGTAACAAGCATGAAAACAGCTCCGTTAATCCGCTCCGTTACTATGCTCCGTTTCTCTGCTCCGTTTATACGCTTCGTTATCATGCAGTCGGAACGTAAACAGGAAACGGCACGAAACAACCGCTGTCTGTCGTACACGGCTACACGACAGTATTATTGGTCAATGTATATGTGTTATAGAGGCTACACAGTTACATTTTATGGGTTCCTTGATAAGTTACTGTCAGTTGCTGGACAGAGTGTGTAGTAATGTACAACACACATGTGTACATGTATGGGTCCATCTAACGATTAGTACTGCACGAGGACAATAAATGTGACGTCAGGCGAACATCTGTGAGGCAAGGTTTTTATACATATAATATGTAACTACATGTATAATAATGCATACGAAGCTGGAAAAAAGATCTAAGAAATCCATTCGTGAACATTATTTGCATTCAAATATCATGCATGTACGTTCTTGGTTCCGCTTTAGAGGTTGAGATGTTCTGGTCTTAACAAGAAAAACCCAAATTGTTTTAAACTGGAAAAGACACTCACGATGTGGGTCAGCCTCGTCCAGTATGGCATCTGCAGCCTTGTCGTCAGGGTTGAAGCCGATTCCGTGAGTAAACATGATGAATTCGTCCCGCGTGAGTCGACCGTCATTGTCTTCGTCTAAGAAGTCAAACAGGTCATGTGCTTTCTCGAAAGCTTCAGCATCCGGGTTCTCTGAAGAAATAAATCCGTTCTGATGTTGTCAGTGCTTCATTTACAATGAATTGAATACAAGTAAAGTTAATGGTATTGGACATGAGTTACACCTCAGCACATAGAATGGTAATATCACTGTGTTCAAAGGCTAACGTCAACATAGGAATAACAGATTTCCAATAATCCAGATCATCGAAGCATACAGTGACACAGAGTACGGTTTTACTTCGGCACTACTTCATAAACAACCTATTGTAACAGTACAAACATATATCATCACTGAATGTACAGCCCCCTGAGCGTCGTAATAGCGGCGAAAAGATGCATAAAGACAATAGAACATACCCTGATTTGGTTACATTTCAATTTCATTTGAAGGATACATTTTGGCCTAAGATTTTTAAAACCATTATTCACACTTTGACATATTTTGATACACTTTATTATAATGAAGAAAGGTACTTATCACTCCAATCGTGTAACAGCCTAC